GTCATGTACCTGTACTATGGGCTCTCAGCAGCAGGACCTGCCTTCCAAAAGTATCTGTGGTGGAAGAAGCACATCACAGCCATCCAGCTGGTGAGTCTGCTGTGGAGGAGAGCATGTGCCTTCATCCTCTTTTGTGGGGGGCAGGCCAGCCCCTCTACCTGTGAAAGGTGCAGCCAGAAGCTGTAGCTGTCTCTTCTGTAGCTTCTCTGGGTTTCTAACAGCTCTGAGACCTCTGACAACCCTACCAGCCTGGTTAGGGTGTGGGTGCTGCTCGATCTGCTGCCCCTGGGTTCATTCACACCGGGAGGGTGAGAGATGTGCTGCCTTGAGGCTTGTGCCTGCCTTGTCCAGCTGCTGGCTGTGCCTCAACATAAGGAGGCACACACTCTACTGCAGAGTGGGAAAGGAGCCTATTGGTTTAATTTAGAAAGGTCTCTGTGGGGGGGAGGGGGTGGGGGTGTCCCTAACCCTGCCCCCATGAATAACTTATCCCTGCTCTGCCTTGTTCCCAGGCACAGTTTGTGATTGTCTCTGTCCACATCTCTCAGTATTACTTCATGCCCAGCTGTCAGTACCAGTTTCCCATCTTCGTCCACCTCATCTGGATTTATGGGACCATCTTCTTCATCCTCTTCTCCAACTTCTGGTACCAGTCCTACACAAAGGGCAAACGGTTGCCTAGGGTGGCTCAACAAGCAGCCCAGCACAACGGTAGCAGCATCCACGAGAATGGCACTGTCACCAACGGCAAGGTCAAAGCCAACTAGAGGGCAAGGCCCTCCCAGAGCCAATGAGAGCCCCGGGGCAGAGGCAGCTGGGACCTGTTCCCCTGCTCCTGGGTACCACTAGCCAAGTCAAGTGCCTACAGACTGTTGTACCCCTGTGCCCAAGCCCTGCTGTCCTGTCTGCATGCCCAGCCCCTCTGCTCTGAGCAGCTATGGGCAACTTCTCCTTGGAGGGCTTGTGCTGTTTCTCAGTGTTGCTGAGCAGAGAGGCAGCTGCCTGCATCACAGCTGTGGGGCTGCAGTCCCATTCCAGTGTTTCCAAAGGAACTTCCCCAAGTGCCTACATCTGGCCCTTCTGCCTGGGGCCTATTTCCTTCTGAGTAGGACCAAAAGAAGAGACTGCTCCCTGTCCTGGTGCCCCTTCCTCTTCCCTGTCTCATGAGAGCCTGTGTGGATGAGCAGGCTTGTCCCTGGCTGCTTGCTGCTGCCAGCTCCAGTGTGAGTGCTCCTGCTCTACTGTGCCTTGTGCCACTTTGTTCCATGCCACAGTGCTGCATGTCCCTTTTAATCCCTGTGTGCCCAGGGTGGGAGGTCCTGCCCTGGCATAGCTGTGCTCAGGTGTAGCGATGGAGAATGTAGTGGTGGTGTATATGGAACTCAAGGGCCCAGACCTGCCCAGTACAGTACACATGCCATGTGCCTACTATGTAGCAGGGGTTGTGATGGCCTGAAATGCCTCTCCCACACGCTGAGCCCAGGTTGCCTTGCCTTTCTGTGCCTGAGCTAGGTGCTCAGTGTGTGCTTCAGCCACACTTATGTGATCCCGTATGGCAGCTGGTGCCTTGCTCCAGAGTGGGGGAGGCCAAGCTCAGCCTTGCCTTGGACCTTTTCCATTCCTGCATACTCAAGACTTGAGCAATAATTGCCCCTAGAATCAGCTCTTGGGCTTTCCAGCTTGGGCCCAGCTCTGCTCTGGCCCAGTGTGAGCACAGCAGAGGATGGCTGTTGCCTGCGCTGCTGTGGTGTATGTGAACACATCTTGCCCCTGTGCATCTGAAGGTGTACCCTGCCCTACCAGCAGGGCGGTGCAGCAGCTCTCCTGGTCCTGGTGCCCATCACTTGCTTGGGCTGTAACCAAAACCGTGCTGTTGGCCTTGAGGTTGAGGTGAAGGAGCCAGGCCCTGTCAGATTGGGCTGCTCTTCTATCACAAATAAACAGACAGAAGGAAAAATGGCTCAGCCCTCTTTTTTTTCCTGGCTTGCTGTCCTCAGAAGCTGTTCCAGGTCCTTGGTGCTGCCCAGCGTGGTTGAGGCAGGGCCAGGAGCAGCAGCTGGCATAGCAGGTTTTTGTGTTGGGGGGAGAGGGCGGCAGCAGTCTGCTGATGAAGCAGATGGCAGATTGTTCCCAAGTGTGCTGGTAGAGCAGTGCTCATGGCAGGAAATGTGTCAAAGCTCCTGTTGTGAAAGTGGCTCCACCCTGTCAAAGAATGGCTGGGGTGGAGCAGGGTGTGTGTTGGGACCTGGGCACTGGCCCAGGAGGTGCTGCTGCCTTTCAGACATCCCAGGGAGCTGAGGTGTGGTGGAGTGGGGAATAAAGACCCTGGAACCCCAGGTGATGGGGAAACAGCAGTTTGGCTTCTGCATCTGCTGAAGGTGAAGTTGCTGCCAGCTGTGACAGCCCCTGCAGTGTGGATCTGTGCAGAATGTAGCTCAGGTCGGTCAGAGGGAGGTTTGTGTTCCTGCTCTCTTCCTCTTGCTACAGCAGTGCACCATGCCTTGGCTGCACTCTGTTGTTTCTACCACCTGAGACAGTTTGGCTTCCCTGCTGGGGTGCAGTGCTGCCTTCCCCATGCCGTTGTGAGAGGCTAGCCTAGGTGCTGAGTCAAGCCTGGGCAGAGGGGTGGGTAGCTTGTGGCCAGGAAGAAAGCTGTTCACTATAGGTTTGTTTGGGGTGTGGGGAGAGCTTTAGTGGCTGTCCAGCCGATGCTGGACCTAGGGCATGGCTGGATGTGAGGGAAAGCTTTGCTGACTGTGCCTGAGCTACCGTACACTATACTCATGCCCCAGAACATAGGAAAACATCAACTGACCTGAACTGGTGTGACCAAATAACCCAAACTGCATGTGGGCATCACCACATTTTACAGGGCTTAGTGCTCTTGTATGTATGAAGCCTTAAACAGGGTCTGGCTGCTGCACTGTGTAGTGGTGTCTCAGTTGCTGCTTTTCTGGGCAAGAACTGTCAGAGCATCGTTCTGGTCCCTGATGAAGGGATGTATAACCCTAGGTAGGTGCTCAGAAGCCTTCTCTTCAGGAGCTGTAGGTGACAGTCCAGCTGAAGATGGAGCTTTTCCCATCAAGCCTCCTTCCCCCTCCTTCAGCTGGCTTTTGGTAAACACGGCCCTGTCTTTGTGCTTTTGCCCGAAATAGTAACAATACTTTTGAACTACTTCTGCTTGGCCTTTTAAAAGGGGGTGTTCCCTGCATGTGTTCTGCTTTCCCTTCCTCCAATTGTTCCCATTAGCTGAGACCTTTCCATGGGCTGGCTGTGGCCCTTGGTAATTTACATGCTGTCATGGTCATTTGGGGCTCTTGATCTGAACTGAATCCTCACCGTATATGGCAGCATTTCCTGGGCCTGCTGGCTCAGTGCCCAGCTCTTTCCTCTGCACCTCCTTGCTCTAGTGTGGGGGCCAAAGGAAGACACTGCAGTACCCTCACCTTCTAGTAATGCTCAGGGGTTTTCGTGGGGTGTATAATGCACAGCTTTGCAGGGTGGGTATGTGCTAAGGAGAGAGGCAAGACAAGCTTTCTCTGAGAAAGGTGAATTGCTTTCTTCCACAGCAAAAACTGCACCAGTTTTCAGACATAGAAGCCTTTCTTGCAGGTTCCTTGCATCCTGGATCATTGCAGGGGTGTGGGGCAGGGCTGCTACAGCAGCAGCACAGCTCTGGGGAAGAGTCTAACCCATATAGGGCCCTGCCCTCTTCCCCATTAGGTTCAGCTGCTGCCTTAGGATTTGGTTGGGGAGAGCTGCCTCTTCATCCCTTGGACCTCCTTTTAGAAGGCTCCCTCTGGGTTAAACTCAGGAGGCAGAGCAGGAGCCTGGTGCCAAGTACAGCATAGTACTGTGCCGAGGGGAAGGTGAAAACAGTTAATAACAATCCACCCTCAGCTAATCACAGCACAGGCTTTGTCACGCTATTTTGCCCCAGATGAGGTGCTAATTAGCTGTGCAGTGGCCCTGGCAGCCCCTGGTGCAGCTGAAGGAGGGGCTGAATGGGTCTGTGGCAGTCCCACACCCTCAGACATCTCAGCTCCAATCAATATGCAGAGCAGCATGACTGCAGTAGCTGCACTGGCTTTTGCTAAAAGCTCAAATATGCTCCCACCAACATAACTGAGCTTGGAAAGAATGCATTTCTTCAACTGCTGAAGAGTCGAGCTCTACCAAGCATCTGCATGCTTCTCTGCATGCAGCATCATCAAGGCAATAGGGCTTCCCCTCAGCACAAAGGCAGGACAGGGATCAGGTATGCTGGAACAACTTATGACTAAAGGCTACACACTGGGAGCTTCTTACATGATAGCCAGGCTGGCTGTGGCAATGTAAACTAACCTTCTGGTTTGCATCAGTCTACAATGCCACTGCTAATCCCTTCCTGTCCTTTGGGATGAGTATACATAGAGCATCTCACTCTATATTTATAGCTCCTGCCCCACCTTCCCCCCCCCCCGGGTAGCATTCAGCTAAATTCAACACTAAAGTCACTGCAAAGGCAGCTATGCCACCCCAGCAAGTCAGGGGGATTTCCTCCAAGCCCCAGTGCAGTTAGAATCATAGAATAGTTAGGGTTGGAAAGGACCTTAAGATCATGTTCCAAACCCCCTGCCATGGATGGAGCATTCACAACCTCCCTGGGCAGCCCATTCCAGTATCTCACCACCCTAACAGGAAAGAATTTCCTCCTTATATCCAATCTAAGTTAACACACTATGATGAGTGTTGGAGGGGTAGGAAGTCACCTCAGCTACAGCTTCCCCATTTGGTGGAGCTGGTGTGCTTGTGGTCAGCATGGGTGTGTGTGGCAGAAGTCATACCTGTCTTAGCCATTGCATAGCATCCTCCGTCTCCCAGGACTTCACACGTTTGCTAGGCTGAGGGTTTCTGCAAACTGGCACTAAAGAATAAGAGCTTCAACCACTTGCCCAGATTGCAAACCTCAGTTCTTTGAGCCATGGCCTTCTCTTCCATCAGACTCCATAAAAACAAAAAAAGGCAAACTAGAGCAGTTTATTAACTTTTAAAATACTGTACAACAAGATAAGCCCCTCTCCCCACAACAGTCCTGTGCACTCAGCGTATGCCCTGGTGAATGATGCTGCTTTTGGCACTGTTTGCCTTTTCCTTCTCTTTCTTCTTTATGGGGTCCATCTCAAAACAGCGCCAGAGCCGCAGCGTTTCATCAGCAGCTGCTGAGGCCACTGTTGCACCATCAGGGCTCATAGTCAGGTTCAGGACTCTGGCAGTGTGACCTGAGGAGGAGGTGGTGTGCAGTTAGGCATGGGCTGATCATATTACTCCCCACCAGCTTGCATAGCCATCTCCACACCATAGTGCAGCAGCATCAATTCACACCCCAGGTATGCATTTGGAGCAGCGGTGTTTCTTCAGCTGCTCCTAGCAGCATGCTCCTGGACACCATTCTGCATCAGTAATGCTCCAGGCTAGACCCGAGGTCTGCTCTAACCAAGGATTAGACCTGTCTTCAGCCTCTATTACCCATCTCTTCCAAAGACAGAGGGCCCAGCTTACCTCGCAGCTCAGTGACCTTGGCCATTGTTGGATACTTCCATATAACCAGCTGATTCTGTGCAAAGCCATGGCCTGAAATGAACTCCTTGTAGTTTGTTGACCACAGGATAGAACAAACCTGGCAAGAGGCAGTAGTGCAGGTAAGACAGGCTGCTTGTGCTGATGCTCACCACCCAGAGGTGAGCATGGTCCCCTCCTTTCCCATGCCTTTGTGCCTCAAGTGCCAGCAGCTCTGTACAGGTGTCCTGCCAGAAGGTGTTTATCTCCAAGCTGGTGTTCATGTCTCACCTGGGAGTGGGCATCAACAGCACTGAGGCAGGTGCCAGAGCACACATTCCAGATGCGGATATGTCTGTCACTAGTCCCACCTCCAGTGGCCAGAACATTTGACTGCCACGGACACCACGCCACAGCCTGAGAGAAAAAGGTTCATCTTAAGATATGCAAGGGGCAGCCTGTGCACAGCCAGTGCTGCACACCTGCCTCGCACACAGGCATGTACAGGCATGTGCCCACAGCAGCCCTACACTCACCTTGACAGCACCCTGGTGCTGCGTGAAGGTCTGTACAGGAGCAAAGTCCCCACTGTCCCCCTGGGTGCATGGCCAGATGTTCACCAGGTTGTCATTGCCACCACTAGCCAGGTAGCGCCCGTCTAGAGACCACTTGAGTCCACAAACCTCCTGCGTGTGGCCAGCAAGTGTGGCCACATGATGCTCAGCCACTCTGACATCATGATGGTGGATGTGGCCAGTTCGTGCCCCACTGCAGAAAGAGAAGACTTGCAGTGTCAGGCTGGTTTTCACCAAAGACCATTTTTGAGCTGTTCCAAGACTGTTGTACCTGCCACTGGCCTGGTGGAGTGAGCAAAGTAGCCACAGAAGTTCTTCACAACTTCAGCACAAAGGGCAAGAGAACAGAGAGGCCTTCTCCCCACTGTCCTGACAGAACAGGCTGAGTAAGAAGAATCCCAAGCAAGGACAGAAATTCCTCTCTGCCATCCCTAATCTGCACCAATTTGATCTAGGATAGGAATCTGCAACAGTTGGATGCTGCCCTTCACCCACTGCTTTACCTGGACAGGATGTAGCTGTTCCAGCTGAGGGAGCCCACACGTGAAGAATGGCTGGTCATGTTTCGGAGGCGTTTCTGCTGCTGTATATCCCATAGCTAGAGAGACAGAGGAAGAAATTCTCTGGAGGATGAGGAAACCCAGCTCTATTGCCTTGCCCAGGAACCTCATTGCACAGGCTCTGGCATTCAACCTCATCAGCACAGGGGCAGAGAGAATTGGTATCTCACACCTACAGAGCAGAGGACAACTTCAGGTGTCAGAAAAAACCTACAACCAATCTGTGCCTTGCATGCTGCAGTTGGTCACTGGATGTGGACATTTCCATGCCACACCAGTTAAGGCAAGTCAGGATGCACTGCATTCTTCTAGCACTAGTCAAGCCTTTGTCCCAAGGCCCCCAGTTCTGGCAGTCCCTAGGAAGCAGCTCTAGTTTTACTCCTACACTCACCTGGACCTCAGCATTACTTGTGCCAACAGCAAGGTAGTTTCCTTCTTTAATCCATGACACAGAAGAAATGTAATCATCTGGATGCTCCATCTGCAGCAGCTGGATAATCTCACCAGTGGTGTGATTCCACAGATAGACAGAGCTGTCCAGAGCCACCGCCAGGAAGTTCTGAGAGCTCCAGTCAATGAGATTCAGATCTACAATTTGGAAGAGCAATGCAGGTCACACTGTGTTTAGACAGCCCTGCCTTTCACCAGTGCTTCACCAGCCTTCTAGGTGTCACCATGCCCAGGTAATGGGGTCAGATAGCCCTGATCCAAGTTACCTACACAGCGCTCTGGACCACTGTTCCCTAAAAGGCTAGAGAGGGACACTCCAGAAGTGGTCAGTGCTGGTCTGGGTGCATAAGATACTGAACTAGGACCTAGGAATCCTGCTCTCATGTGGAATGATCTCCACGCCCAGCACTCGATGTTGCAGCCTACTTACAATAGTCATTGCGAATCTCTGGTGCATCCAGGATCCGGTCTGGCATTGAAGAAATGTATCTGCCATTCTTCCTGCTGGATCCAGGTGTTATTTTCTGACTGTAGAGCACTTTCAGGTTATTCTGATAGCCTGTGTGCAGAGGAACAGATCTGTTAACCTGAGTTAATGTTTCCTCCCAGCTGAGCACTGTTCACCCAACTAGAAATCCCCTCCAGTGAAAAAGAAATCCTGAGGGAAGAAATGCACTCAGAAGACTGCAGTTGTGCTCATCACTGGCAGCATAAACTGCTGAACCAGGGTAAGCTCTGATTCTCTAACTCACAAGAACAGGTTTAATTGACAAGCACTTGGCTTTCTGTATCCCATTTTGTTTACTGGCAGTTCAACTACCAGTGCACAGTAGAGTTTGAAGCTTTTGCAGACCTCAGGAAGTTTTGCCACCTGCTGTACAAGTGAGCAATTAACACTCATTTCAACTTCTGTAAACAAATTCACTGTAACTTATGCCACCCCACAACCTCAAGAACCCTAAGAAAGGAGACTCCACTGTGCACAGGAACCTTAAGAAGCAGCCAGTTGATCTCTCCCATGTCCACACACAGGGCCTCTGCGTTGCTGCTCCTCTGCCTAGATCCCTCCAGCTGAGTTAACTCACACAAACCCTGTGTCATACCTTCTGGAGCATTCTGTGGTTTTCCACTGAGGCGGAGGATCTTTGCCTCTTCTATATCAAAGCCATTCAGATTCACTGCCCAGGCTTTCTGTTGTTCCTGGAGACAAACCATCCTCAGTAAGATGCATTGAAAACACAAAGTCCATGCTGCACTTAAGACTGCAGCTGGCAGGCATATACCCAAGCCCCTTTCTCCTAAAACCAGGAGGTATAAAACTGTGCTGTGGGAGTCAGCTACAGGCAGGCACATCAAAGTTTTTCTTCAGACATTGGCACACTGTCCAGCTCAATATTTTCATATACAAGAGTGGCCAGTTCAGTGTCTCATTGCCTGTGGGGAAAGCCACAGCCCTAAGGGACTAAATGCTTCATAAACAGTTTTCAGAACACAGTGTACACGTTCCAGAATAGCTCCCATGTAGCCATTGTCCTAGAATAACACCACCAGCAGTTTCTCCAAGCAGATTCACAGCTTTGTGTCTTTGTAGCAGCCTGCTACATTTTAAAGCCTCATTAGCCCAAAGCTGAATTTCGCTACCAGAAGCGGCATGGGCTAGCGAGTGGAAGCAGAGGTGTAAGACTATGCTCTTCTCTGCATCTAGGGAGACAGCTCTATAGAGCACCTACACTCAGGCTCCTGTGTAGCAACTAAGTGCCTGTTCCATCTGCAGACTCTACAGCATTCACCTGCAGCTCTTAAAGCCCAGAGCTGGAAGCAGTGGTGGCTGGGACTGTCAACCCCATGTGCCCACTTGACAGAACTTTAAGTTTATAAGTTATCGATAAGAGACCAGGAAGAATTAGGTGTTTGATAGTAATCACTGTAGTAATTATAACTTAGCAACATGCTTACCTTCTTGGTAGGGGACTCTTCAGCAGGGTCATTCTCTTTGGTTAGGAGGAAATTTGCCATGTCCATCTGCATAGTGCTGCGGTTGGGAATGTAGCGATCACCCCCGGCCTTTGTTGGTGTGCTCTGGATTTTGGATCCAGATTTACCTGTGTTCACATGCATAAATATCATATTTATAATAAAAATAAATATTGTCTTACAGCTATTGAACAGCTTGTATTAGAGCTTTCAAGAGACAGCAAACCCAGCACTCCACCACATCACACCTGTGAGACATGCTGCAGACAAGCAGGACTCAAGTCATACCACCCAGTCACAGTTAACTCAAATTTTTGTCTCCTCCTCCCCCCCATGCACTAAACTCAGGTGAGGGAGTGCCAGGAGACAACTCCTTGGGCCTAGAAAAACAGTCCCAGAGATCACAGATAAGGGGAGGTTACAAAAATACTGTTATAAAGCTGTCAGCAGACCGTTTTGCCCACACTTGTCTAAACACTCATCTGTGCCAGCAAGGCTCAACTGGAGGATCACCCAGCCTCAATGCATACAGCTCTGCCCTCTCGTACTGGAGAGAAAATGGGCGACTCCAGGAGCCACGCCATGTAGCCCACCTCATCCTGCCTGACCAGAAGGGCAGCCTGGCACGGAGCTCAGAGCACCACGGCTGCAGGCAAGCAGCCAGGGCGACGCTCCCCCACCCGACCTGTCCTGTGTTGCCGCCGCTCACCGGGTGTTCTGGACGGCGTCTTGCTGGAGCTGTGGGAACGATTGAGCGGCTTCATGGGCGACACGATGGCGGCGGGGCCGGGCCCAGGGTCACCACTCTCCTTGGCCTTGCGCTGCCACCGCGCGGGCGGAGCGTTGGGGATCGGCGTGTCCAGCTTCAGCAGCCCGTGCAGATCCGTCTCGAACACGAACTGCGCCATGGCGAGCGCTGCGGGATCGCAGCGTCAGCGGGACCCACATCAGCCGGCCGGGCTGCAGCCCTATTCCGCCAGGTTCCCCCCCCCCCCCCCAGCTGCACCTCGGGGCCCTCTCCACCACAGGAGACCCCCCCCGCCCCGGGCCGGGCCGCTCTCCACCACAGCAGTACGCCCTCCCAGCCACTCCTCAGGGGCCCCTCCACCACAGGACACCCGCTAAGCCGCCCATTAGGGGCCGCTTCACCGCAGCCTCCCACCCGCCATGGCCGCACCTCAGGCTCCCCCTGCGCCCCGGCCTCTCACCTCCGCTCTAGGACTGACGCTCGCGCAACCCTGCTCCCCGAAGGCATTTAAACCCCGCGCTACCGCTCCTCCCATTGGCTGCTTCAAACCCAACCGCTCCCCGCTGCCATGGCGACCACGGCGCGCCACATCGTGATTGGCTGATCCGCGGGACGGGGCGGGGTTCTCCCCGCCGGACGGCTACGGGTGCCGGGTGGGCGGGTAGTGCCGCGTTTCTTCCCTGTGGGCGCGGGGCGCAGACAACGGGAGAGGAGGCCGTGTGTTTGCGCGTCTCCTTTATGTCAGGGCGGGGGGCGCGGCTCCGGGCGGCCCGCGGGGCTCCCAGCCGCTCATGAGCAGGTAGGACTGGTTGGCGATGTCGGTGCTGGGCAGCCGGTCCGCAGCGTGCTCTGGCGGCGGCGAGCCCGCCTCCCCCCGCGGGCCGGGCAGCACCTCCAGCAGGCAGGGCAGGACGGCCTCCTCCTTCTCCTCCTCCGGCGGCTGCTTGTAGAAGGCGTTGGGCTGGGGGACACAGGGAGGGGTGCGGTGGGCCCTGCCCCTGGGGCTGCCCGCGGCGGTTCGGCCGCGGTGGGCCCTGCCCCGGCCCCCTCACCTGGCCGTGCTTGCTGCTTTCGTGGAGGAAACTGCCCAGTGCGCGGTGCAGGTCGGGGACGGAGGGCCAGAGTTTCTGCTTCATGTTGCTGAGCGCGGGGAAGGGGGTGTTCAAAGCAAACCCCAGTCCTGGGGTGCCCTGGTGCACCCCTGGTCTGGTGCTGGACTCCCACTCCCAGCCCCAGACACAGCCTTTACCTGTAGAGGGAGGGGAAGGTGCACCGCAGGCCCAGGAGCGCTCCCGTGAAGAGCAGCAGCACCAACGTAACGCTGGGGATGGTCCAGCCTGCATCGGAGGAACGCTGGCACTGTAACCCTCCCCAGACCTGCCACTGAGGAGTCCTTCACAGCCCTGCTACCTTCACCTGGTGCTCCCTATCCCATTTGCAGCACTCCGTTTCCCATGCTCAGCCTGTGGCTCTGATGGCTGCAGCCTCTGCTTCCGCCCTGTTCCTTACCCGCATCGACCATGGCATCAACCACGACAGGCTTGGACCAGGCGCTCCAGCTGCCCTTGTACCACGGCCCGCTGGGCTGGGCCCGCACCTGGGCATGGTACTGGGCGCCTGGATGTAAATCCAGGACTTCTTTCCTGGCTGCCTGTGGGACCTGCAGGACCTGTGGGGCAGAGCTGAGCTGGAGACAACAGCTGCTGTGGGGTGGCCAAAGGGAAGCACTGGGGTGTGGGTCCACCCTGCCTGACCCTATGTGGCCCATGTGCCAGCAGCAGAGGTGGGCAGGGCTACCTGGGTGAGCCCGGGCCATGTCTTACCTTCCAGTCATGGCTGTTCTGAACAGCATAGCGGATCTGGTAGAGCAGCTGCTCTGCCAGCACCTCCAGGGGCGGTAGCCACTGCAGGCTCAGCCGGCCCTGTGACACTGTTGCCTGCACAATCTGTGGGGCTTCTGTGAGCACTGTTGGGGATGGCGATGTGTCACTGCCATGGAATGGGGCATAGAATGCTGTGTCCCCCATAAGCCAGGCATGGGCAATGGCAGGAGCCATGGTGGCAGTGGGACTCACCAGCCTGGTGCAGCCAGAAGGGCTCCTTGAAGTAGCTGAGTGTGGACAGTGGATGGGGCTGGGTGACATTCACCAGGACAGAGATGGCACTGTCAACCTTGGGCTGGAACGTGCAGGTGTGGGAGCCCAGCGTCCCCACGCTCACCTCTATACACTCCTGCCATGCATCTTCCCTGTTTGAAGAGCAGGGAGCCAGTCAGCCCCACTGTGGTGGCCCAACTCCCCTCATCCGCTGCCAGCTCTGCTCTGTGAACACCCTTGTCCCCGCAGCCGGTGCTGCCCGTAGTTGGAGGGGCAGTGTGGTTGGGAGTGGTGGTGGGGAGGTGCGAGGCCCATGGTGGCAGGGCAGGACACAGCGCACAGTGGGATATGGGACAGTGGGCTGTGCCACCCCTCTGCCTGAGGACTGTGGCCCTGTCATGCCCCTTACCTTGTGCCAGCCCCGCTTGGAGATTGCTGGTAGAAGAGCTGGTGTGAGCTGGGGAGCTCTGTGGTGTCCCAGCTCCACTCACAGCGCACGTGCTGCAGGTCAGGGGTGCTGCAGCACAGCCTGATGTCTCCTGGGCAGACAGAGCCAGGGGAGGGAGGGGGCTACTACCCCTTGGCCCCCCAAAACTTGTGTGCTGCATCTCACCTGCCCCAGGCCCTCCAACCCTCGAAGCCCCAGGCATGGGTGCCTCCCTGCTGTGCCTGCCAGCACTGCAGCGGTGGGGATGGCTGCTCACCGGAGGAGTGGGGTGTCTCCGCAGCCACTGCCTGCGACCATGGTCCCCAAACACCATCCATGGAGGTGCCGTCAGGCTTGCTGCGCACCTGGATGTGGTACCTCACCCCTGGCCGCAGGTTCTGGAGAACCACCCAGGTGTTGGCCTGGACCAGCCGCTATGGGAGAGGGACCAGGCTGAGGAGCAGCTGCACCCCCTAAATCCCCCTGCCCATCCCTGTCCCCTCTGTCTACCTGCCCCGCTCCCGGGGAGGCTGCAGCTGCCCCGGTGGTGGGTGCATGGGTGCTGATGGCTAGATCGATGGAGGGGTCCCCAGGGCGCTGCCCTGCTGCGGTGCTGCAGGACACGTCTGAAGAGCTGACAGGGCAGAACTGCACCTCATAGAGGAAGAAGTTCAGGAAGTCAGCGAGTGGTGGCTGCCAGGAGATGCAGAGCTGCCCTGCAACCCCAGCCCAGCGGGCTGTGATGTTCACTGGGGGAGCAATGAGACCTGTGGGGAACGTGCCAGGTGTTTGCCTTCCTGCAGCAGGCCCTGTCTAGGCACCCTCAGTCCTGCAGAGGTCCCTCAAGGGCTGCATCCACGCCTGGCATGCAGGGTGCTGCCAGCCCCCACGGTGGTCACAAGGGCAGGGGACCCAGGCCTGGGGACTGTCCTGGTGTCCCAGGCATATTGCCCAGTGGGAGGGACTCACCCACTGCATCCACGCTGAGGTCCCGCCTGTACTTGGTCTGGTTGTTGGTGGCGTCCAGGACGCGGAGATGGAGCTGGGTGAAGAGCCGCACATCCTGTCTGGGGAAGATGCAGACGTGCCGTGTCCTGCCGGCCCCGTGACGCCATGTGGAGACTGTGCATGCTGTGGGCATGTCCCTGAGGAACAGAGAGCAGGGTCTTGCAGCACCCCATGCCTCCTGCCTGTGGCCAGGCTGGAGGAGACAGGACCTGGGGCACAGTGCCTTTCGGTGTCACCAGCATCTTCCCTGTACCCCATCCACTGCAGGGCACCATCCCCATGGTACTCGGACAGCCAAGGGGTGCGCGGTGGCTGCTGTGGGCCCTCCACCATCTCTCCTTGCAGCTGGGAGCGAGTGGGGTGGATGGAGGGCTGCAGCACTGCTGCTCTCTCTGTGGGCAAGGGGAAGATGGGTTGTGTCCCCACCACTTCCTACCTGCTGTACCAGTAGTAGAAGTGGCACATCCTGCTCACTGCCTCCTCCTCCTCCTCATCGTCATCATCCCAAAAGCAGGTGAGGTCCTCAAAGGAGCGGGTGAAGCAGAGGATGTCCTCGGGCACCCCTGCCAGCAGCGCAGCATCTGGGAAGAGTGTGGGCATGAGGGAACCCCTGGGCACAAACCTGTCCCCATCCCACCTACATCCCCCTGCCCCATGTTTCACTGACTGGCTGCCACCTGAAGTCAGTCTGTGCAGGCACCTGGGGGACATGGACATGGCTGAGGCACAGCTTGGCACAGCGGGGAAGGATAGGGTACATGCTGGCTGCTGGCTTGCACTGGGGTCCTGGCTGGTGGCAGGGCTCCCACTGGTCGGCCCCACTGCTCCCCCCTCCTCAGCACGTGGGGTCCTTTGGGATAAACAAACATCCCAAAATAGCTTTGTGGTTGGCGGGGGGCTCAGGGCCCAGTGATCGAGGGGAAGCACCCCTGCCCTGCTCAAGCCGGAAGGTGCGCGGAAGTGAGATAAGGAGGAGCAGTGCCTCAGGAGAGGGAAAGGGCCTTTGGGCTGGCATGGGGATGTGTGGTCCTGAGCAGGGGGGATGTTTAAACCCCAGCCCCAGGACTGCTTGAGAGGCAGTGGGTTTCTTTGCCCCACTCAGAAAGCTGCTGTCCCTGTTGTTGGAGGGATAAACTAGAGCATCACACCCTGCAGGATCTCTATCCCAAGCACTCGTGGCTTTGCTGACACATGGGTGCCAGTCCCTATTGTCAGGGAAGAGAGGACAGCCCCAAGATGCAGATGCATGAAGCACAGGAGCGGCCTTGCTGCCCCCAGCATTGCTGCAGCACTCCTTTCTCCCCCACTGCCTCTGCCCTGGGACCTGCTCAAGCCCTCCTCCTCCTCCTCTTCCTCCTGGGACGTGCTCCCTTCCCCAGGGCCTGCCCCACAACAAACCCCTGCCATTGCCTGGCTGTGCTCTCTGTGCATCTGTCCTTTGCTACACACCCCCTGCACTGCCAGTTGAGCCCACCCTGGGCAAAGAATAAGTGACAGTCCCCAAATGTCCTTGTCATGTCAGTGTCCCTCTGCTCTCCTGTCCCTTCTCTTGCCCTGATCCCCAGCCCTGTTCCTCCTTTCCCAGCCATGTTGCCTTCCTCCCCCAGCCCACAACCCACCCCCCAGCCCACAGCCCCTCACCTCCTCTTCTCTTTTTGCACCCCACTGCTCCTGCCCCAAGCCTCATGCCAACCCTGTGACCCCCCCAGGTCCCAGCACCAGGGGTTGGGATGGCTGGGTCCCAGCAGCCTGGTGGCAAAGGGGTCCCATGGCGTTGGTGGGAAGCCACACTGGTCTGGTGAGCTATCAGAGCGGCCATACAACTCTGCAGCCCTTGGGGCACAGCAATGTCCCATGAGCTGAGGGCAGGGGGATGATGAGCCCAACCCCAACCTTCCTCCCACTGCCCCTATGGGGGTGATTCAAAATGTGCTCCTGAGCCTGCTGTGGACAGAGACCTGGAGTGGAGCTGGAGAGATGAGCAGGAGATCGACAGGATTTGGTTCAGTGAATGCTTTTTATGGTGTTATGAAAGTGATAGAAGGGCCAAGGAGGGGCTCAAGGAAAGCGTGGATAGGCCTTCAATGGGAGAAAGCCATGAAGTGGCTCTGCCTGGTGAAGGGAGGCAGGCTGGGGCCAGCTATGGGCTGAGCTGAGGATGCTCATGAGGGCAGTAAGATCACGGTAGGGCTGGCACAGGAGCTTTGGGATTAGCCTGGTGGGGCTGCTGTGTTACCCACAGTGCAGAGCTGTGCTGTCAGATGTTAGCTTGAATTTGGCTCATCCTTGATATTGATGCATGGGGAGCCTCTCTGCTACCTGTGTGGGACTGGGAGCCACAGGCTGGTAACCCAAAGGGGAATCCAGGGGCTGCCAGGTCCTACCTGCAGAGAGCAGGGATGTCCCTTTGCTCAGGGCACCCCAGGGTGTCCCACAGGTCAGAAGGGCTCTCCATTGCCCACCCTGAACACCCTCCTGGGATGCTCCCTCCCCAGCCCTGTGGATTTTGGCTGCCATGGGATGTTTGCTGCCCATACCCAGTGTGCCATCTCATCTCTGGCCCATCGTTTGGGGAAGAAAATGGCCCCAAGGACCTACCTTCTGATGTCACTGGCTCGGTGGCCAGCAGCGGGCTGTGGAAGCTGAGCAGAACAGCAGGGAGCAAAGGGAGCAGCCGGCCCCGGTGCAGGCAGGCTGCCATCCTGCAACCCGTGTGCCGGGGATGTGTGTGCTGCTCTTGGCGCTTCCCAGCACCGTGCTGGGAGCTGCTGCGGCTCCTCCGGGTGACACCTTTATCTGGGAAGTGGCGGCTGTGCAGCTCAGGAAGCCTGGCTGGAGGCTCCCCCCACCCCATCACCGGCACTTCCCTGTGCCCAAAACCACCATGCCATGCCCCCTCCACCGCCAGCCGCAGTGCCAAGAGAGACTGCTCCTATCAGATAGGCAGCACGTCCTGCCCTTGTGGCTACCGGCACGCAGGGAGGCTGGGGTAGGAAGAAAAACATCCCCTGAGAAAACAGGGAGGCCCCTGTGTGGGGCAGGGCAAGACAGGGCAGAGCAGGCTGCTGGGGGCTGAAAGGACGTGGAGTGGCTGTTCCGACTCCATCCCACCCTGTGACGACTGACAGTGGTGTGTACTGGGTCCCACTTCCTTCTCTATCCAGCTACCAGGCTTTGCCGTCAAGGAGGCAAAAGCAGGTTTGAGCAGGCCTGATGACATTGTCCCAGATGCTGTTCCCACTGGCAGTGGAGGAGGTGCAAAGCCGGTGGCACACAACAGGCTGCCTGCAGAGGCCTGTGCTCATCACTGTTTCACTGGGGACTTCAGTGATGGAGCGGAGAGGCTGCTTACTGATGGCTGCAATTGACACCAAAGAGCACTGGAGGCCACAATGGGCAATCAAAACGGTATTGACGGGGTTGAAACACCTTCTGGGGAAAAACACTTGCCTAGGACAAATGCAAATGCCCCCCCCCCCGCCTTTGGCTGGGATTCCAGCCTCCAGAGGGCCATCCCTTGCTTCCTGCAGATTGCAGAAGATGGCTGGACAGGCAGCTGGATGGCACACTGGGGTTTAGCAAGCTGAAGCCAGCAGAGATGAAGCCTACACACTGTTGCTGCCAATAGCAAACACCATCAGTGCAGGATGAGGGACCGCAGGCTGGGGCAGCAGCTCCCATGGAGGGATCCTCAAGGGACCAGCACAGGAGAGGGAATCACCCCAGCAGCATGTGGTTGAACAGGGTGCTTGACCACCACAGTCCCTTTGTGAGACACAGCAGGTTACTGGCACTCAGGCAGTGCTGGACAGGCACCAGCTGGCCAGGTTGGGCAAGGCGCGGAGCTGCACAGCCCGCAGGGACTGCCCAGAGGAGCAGGGCCACCCCTGGGAGGAGCAGCCAACCAGGGGGAAGATGCAGGAAGGGTTTTCAAGCGTGCAAGAGGCAGCTACAGAGAGGCAGGACACAATCTGTTCTCCATATCCCCCGGGAACAGGACAAAATCTTAAATTGCAGGGGGAAAGATCCCAGATGGATCTAAGAAAACCCATCCACCTGGCATGATAAGACTTGGGGCTTGGCTGGGGGTCCTGGTGCATCCTTAGGGATCAGCAGAAGACCCCAACAGCGACACGATCCTGAAGAGTGCCCATCACAGCAGCATACCACTGAGGCCCTGCATACTGTTCCCCAGTGCCACCAGGGGGGCAGAGCTGGGTCCCCACCTCCCCTTCTGTAGACCTGGTTGTCTGTTCCAATATGTTTATTGTCCATAAGGCAGAACTGGCACATCCAAAGGGTTACTGCAGAGCTGGAGGCTGCACACAGCTGATGCTGTCCCTAATGCCTTTGCACTCCACTCGGGGAGGCCCTGTCCCACGCTGGCAGGCTGTGATGTTCAAAGTCCCACTGGCACCACTTCAGGTCCAGAGCATGTGGAGAGCTGCAGGGCAGGCAGCTGCTGGGTCACTGCTTCCCCTCTTGCCCCAGAGCTTGAGCATTTGTGTCCGTGGATTAAGGCAGCAGTGCCCTGGCTCCTGAGAGAGCCCCTCTCCTGCCTGTTCTGCTGCAAACACTCTGCTGCTGCTTGTCCTTGGGGCCATCCCAGCATGTCCCCTAGCAGCAGGGGGCTGTGTTGGTGGCTGATGGCATGCCAGTGGGGCCAGCACAAACCGGGTGGGCAGCCAGGGAGGGGTTGGCACAGTCCTGCTGTGGCAAAGACGCTCTCAGCAAGGGGCACTGGTGTTTGGATGCTTGGCCCTGGAGAATGATGGGCAGCTCCTTGTCCCCATGCACTGTCCCAGCAGCTGGGGCCAGCGAGGCCCCTCTGTGCGGTGTCAGTGCAGCCTCACGCCTCCTCAGCAGTGGCATCAATCCCCGCGTAGGTGAAGTTCTCAAACAGGGCCATGTTCACATAGGCCTGCAGGGGAACCCCAGTCAGGAGCCAGCTGGGACAGTGTCCCCATCTACCTCCCATCCCAGCTGGCATGCTCGCCACCCCAAAAAGTGATGCTGGGGTTACCCCCATGCATAGTGGGGTCACACAGGTTCTGCTGCTGGACGTCATCCCCCCCCAAGCCCAAGGGTTGCTCCAGGATTCGGGCAAGCACTATGCAGGGTGAGTACCCCTCCTGCTGAGCTGTCACCACTCACCTTCCTAGCCTCCAGCATGCGGATGAGCTGCATGGAGATCTGGGCAAAGGGTGGGCGCTCGTAGGGGCGGTCACGCCAGCACTGCCGCATCAGCTCGTACCTGGTGGCAGAGAGCCAGTGGTGGCTCAGTGTGCATGGAGGTGGAGAGGGCAGAAAAGCTATCTGTGGGAGGTGAGGGGAAGCAGGCGGGAAACTAAAGCCCAGGAAGGGTGTTCGGGGTGTGGGACTCGAGGTCATCCCCCCGCCACAATGCAGAGGAGAACCAGGCAGGAACTACTGTGAGTTGGTGGGAGCCCCATGGGGCAGTGGGGTCAGGGGGATGTGGGGCTCTGTGCACACTTACACCTCATCGTCACAGTTGCGTGGCTTCTCCATGCGGTAGCCTTGGGGCAGCTTCTCGTAGAGCTCAGCACAAGTCATCCCGCAGTATGGCGTCCCCCCTGTGGCCAGAGACACACAACTGGCTGTGGTGGATGGTCCCTTAGGTGTCCCCTCTGGGGGTGGGGTGAGGGGGGCAGTCCTCCTCCCTGAGTGGAGGCAGGGGACACAGAAGAGCCTTACCCAAGCTGACGATCTCCCAGAGCAGGACACCAAATGACCACCTGAAAAGGCAGGAGCTGATGCTGTGGTGCCCCACTGATGGCCATAGGGCATCACCCTAAGCTCAGGGTGGAGTGGGCAGCCAGGGCTTGGGCTGAGCTGGCAGCTCCTCAGGGAGATGCATCAGCATCACTTCCAGCCTTTGCAGCACCCAGAGCAAAAGCATTGCTGCACTGACCACCCCGGAGAGGGATGGAGATGGCCACAGCCATGCCTCAGCCCCAGTGCCCCTGCATGCAGGACTTACACATCACTTTTGGTGGTGTACACGCTGTAGTTCAGGGACTCAATGGCCATCCAGCGAACTGGCAAGCGACCCTGGGGAAACAGAGGGAATGACCATCAGAGGAGGGGGGATGCCCTGTGGATGGAGGGCAGAGGTTACCCGGCCGATCCTGGCATGGTGGGTTGTTCCCACTGAAGGCAGGACTCATGGAGATGCTTTGTTCCTGCCTCACCATTGTCTTCTTCACATAGACTTCCTCCCCTCTGGAGAGGCCGAAGTCAGCAATCTTGGAGGCCAGATTTTCTCCCACCAGGATATTCCTTGCTGCCAGGTCCCTGTGAATGAACTGAAAGGGGCCAGCAGTCAGCAGGAGCCATATGCTGCCTGCTGGCCCCAGAAAAAGGATGCTCTGATGAGCTTGCTGGGGATGTACCTGCTTCTCACTCAGGTACTGCATCCCCTTGGCCACGTCTGAAGCAAACTGGAGGAGCTGCTGGGAGGTGAGGGTGGAGGCAGTGCCATGCTCCTTGGCAAAGGCTGGATCTGTCTCCAAGACTCGGCTTTTGCGGAGGAAGTCGAGGAGATTTCCGTAGGGAGCATACTCTATGGCGATGTACAGGTACCCTGGGTGACAGGAGAAGGTTGGGCTCATGGGACTCACCCCAGCAAAGAGGAATACACAGTTGGGCAGGGCCCATAGGTCTGGGAAGAGGGGAGAGGGGGACACCCCTCACCCTTGTTCTCGCAGGCACCCAGCAAGTTGATGATGTTAGGGTGATGGCCCAGTTTGCACAGCACCTCCAGCTCCCCTGCAAAGTCACGATGGTCATTCTCTGAAGCAAATTCTGGAAGCAAAGAAGAGATCGACACCTCAGTCCTACAACAAAGGCCTGAGGTGTTTGTTGTAGGACTGACAAACTCAGCCAGTTTGTCTGTCCTGCATCTCTACTGATGGCTCATGCCCCTTCACAGCCCCAGGCATGGTCCAGGATCGAGTTGCACCCTGCAGCCCTGCCATGCGCACCTTTCAGCATCTTGATGGCTGCATTCATTTTCAGGCCATCCTTTTTGATCATGGCCCTGATGACCTGCCCGAAGTTGCCCTCCCCAATCATGTCCTCAAACTTGATGTCTTCCCACTCCAGGATGGGGTAGCTGAGGGGCTCGGGCTGTGGCTTGGGCCGGCGTGTCAGGGTCAGGGTCCCCGAGTTGAACTGCAGGATAGTCTCTTCCCCCTGGCAGATGGGAGTGGGTGAGGTTAGCAGCACCGGGCACCCCTCTGCCCGCGCGGCAGTCCCGGCAGGGCAGGTGTCCTGGGCAAGGGCAGGCTCCGCACCCTCTCTGTGTGGAAGTGAGGTCTGGCTGCATCCGGACTGGAGGCTACAGAGCGTGACCTGGATCGGGCTGGGACGAGGGGAGCTGGGGACACGGTCCTGGCGGGGCAGGCAGCACTCACCGAGCCAGACTGGTACGTAAAGGTGCGGCGCCGGTGGAAAAAGTTCTTCTTGATGAGGAAAAGTGCCAGGAGGGCAAAGAGGATGGTGAGGCAGGTGACAGACACGGAGCCAACGATGGCCAGGAGCAGCTGCTGGTCTATTCCTGCCTGCTCAGTGCTCTGGCTGCCCAGGCTGGGTGGCACGCTCAGTGCTCCTGCCAAAAGGAGGGATGAAAGGTCATGGTACATGGCTGAGCCCTGTGCAGACCAAGCACCCAGCCCTCTTCCAGCACTCTGGGACCACATGAAGACACCTCTACCATATCCCAGGCTCTTGGTGCCATAGTGGCACAGGAATGAGGGTGTCACTGCCTGGTCCCAGCCACAGAACCTTCTGCTTTCTGGACCTCCAACCAGCTCTGGGTCCACCCACCAACTCCTCCCATGCCAGCTCTGTCCTGCTTCTCTAGTCCCTCACGCACCATGTCACCCT